AAAAAAAAAGGTTCCACCGAGATTTGAACTCGGATCGCTGGATTCAAAGTCCAGAGTGCTAACCATTACACCATGGAACCGGTTGTCAAAATTAAGAAAATTTACTGTATAGAAATTACATCTTTAATTCTCTTATGATGAATTAAGTTTTTTATAAACAATAATTTAAATTTGGCTTTATATCTCTTAGTATATGAGGTTTTAAGTTAGTGTACGAATTTGAAAAATTTGGAAAACGGGAATTCCAAACCTTCACTCACAAAGAAAGAAAGTTTATTGGCTTTAGGTATACCTACCTCATGAATAATTAAAGATACAAACAAATAAGCAACGTTTTATAAATTAAACATTTTGCTTTTTTAACAAATTTTTACAAATTTTATTACGGTAAAAGGCGCCCAGGCAGAAGGCTCATTTTTTTTAAGTAGGTTAAATATTAAAATTAATCAATTAAATTAAATAATTATAATTATTAAACATGGAATACCTACTCTCTAAAAATGAATAAGTCAAAAATGACCAATTTAATAGTTATTATTGGCTGCTTTTTCACTTGTACCATGGTTAACCATGGGATACCATGGTATCCCAAGATTTAAGAGCCAATTCTTAAGTAAAATTGTCCCCTGAATCCGAAAATGTCGTCAAAAGTTAAAAAAGTAGAACAGTTTTTGAGATAAATTCAATTTTCCATTTAATTTGTATTTGACTATTTCTCAAAAACTGCTCCACTTTTATAATTTTTGACGGTATTTTCGGATTCAGGGGACAATTTTACTTAAGAATTGGCTCTTAAATCTTGGGATACCATGGTATCCCATGTGCAAGTGAAAAAGCAGCCACTAATAACTATTAAATAAGTAATTTTTGACTAATTCATTTTTAGAGAGTACCCTTTTTTATTTTAATAACAAAATCGGTAATATGAATATTTTTTTTATTCTTTGATGGATGTCGCCTATACCGCAGCGCGTGCCGCCAATGCACTGCGACCCCGCTAAAAAAATTTTGCATGCATGATCAATAATCTAGGATTTTAAAATAAAAAACTACCCCAGTTGATTTTTAACATTTGTAAGTAATAATTGTTAATAAATAGTGCCCTACTTGCTCCCCTTATCTGTGCGCCCCTGTCGGCTAAAATGTATTGTGTTATATTAAAACCATAGGTACTAACATGGCCTATAATAAATATTATAGGCGCCATTTTATTATTAGCCTAGGGCAACAAATTGTCTTAATCCGGCCCTGCCTACAGTGCCGGACTAACGAGTTTTAATTTTTGTAACAATAAATAGGTAGGTAGGTAGGTATACCTAGTAGTAGATATGAGTACATTAGATGCACAACTCTGTATTTGCAGGATAAGTGATTTTAAGAAAAACACGAAAAACCGCTCATAAGGTCATATTTGAAAAAAAAATACAAAAATCGTATAGACGTGCTTTTGCATCATTTCTTATTCAAAAAAGTAAAAAAAAGTCCTTTAAAATTAAGTAGTTTAGTAAATAATTGAAATCAAAAGATTTAAAAACATAGTTTTGCATCTTCCTCGTTCAAAGACCAAGTTTTGCAAGTGAAAAGTGCAAATACCAAAAAAATAACAATTAACCAGGTGATTGTTATGCCGTCAGTTAATGCGTATACTAGCGACGTGATTGGTGATTGGTCAAATACCGAGTTTTGCATCCGACAGGAAGAAACAAATACCCAGTTTTGCAGCTGCGGTAAGTTTATAAATGTATTTTATTCTACAAATATTAACTTATGCATCTGGTTTACTTAGGTATGCTGTGGGTAGTACAGTTATGAACATAAATAAGATAAAATATATATTTTTTAAAAATGTGCAAAAACCGAGTTTTGCATCTAATGTACTCATATAGGTACTTATGATAAGTAACTTTTCTATTAAAATAAAAATTGTCCAAAATGCATGTTTTAAGGTAGGTACCTATCTCAATTTCAAGAGTTTCTATAGAATGTCTTCAAAATTTAATATGTTATTTTGTGAGGCATAAGACACAATCACAAATAATTTTGGATTTTTTTACAGCACAGATAATTTTTAAAGTTAGGGGTGATTATATTAAAAGTGTATAAAAAAATTTAAAAGCGTGGTTATGTAGGTTCTAAATAAAATTAGAAAATTGATCAGTAGGTATACAGGGAAAAACAAAAAGATTATTTTTTTCAAAGGATCACCCTATACCTATAGGTATGTATTTATTTTTCGATTCCTTGTAAAATTCTAAGCATATTTCATATAACATACCATATACCTAAATTCAACCGTTTCTGCCATAAAAGATTTATAGATTCCCGTACGGGAGAGCACAACGGTTTTTGTATTGTTCGAACATCTTCTACGGGAGGAAGGAAGGAAATCAGGCAATCAGTGTATTACTTATTCATTTTTTGACTCGTTAAATTTCCAAAAAAAAAAAAATATATATATATAGTATTGGTTGCTAAAAAATATGTAGACTTTGTCTAAAAACATTTTTTCATATTTGTAATAGATGGTGCTGTAATGAAAAAAAATCAATTTTGTTCGATTTTTCTTCTTATAAGATTCTGCAATAATCTTTCTATAAAAATATTACTTTTTTGGTACCTAATAATTATATTATTAAATTAAATCTGATTTTTTAAGCAACCACGATTTTTATCTAATATTTAAGTTTCCTTTGGTTTAAGTTTTATAATTATTTCATTCGGTGATAATTATAAATTGCGCACTATGGTCACTTTTTAATTAAAGGATTATTGTACTAGTTTTAATAAAAACACCTCATTTAAGGTTAAAAAAAATTATTTTGTCAATTAATTAATTTAATTCTAATTGAGGTATAAAAAATGGCATTTAGTTATAATAATAATTATAATTATTATTGAGGTATAAAGAAACTATTTATACATATTGTACGAGTATTGTTAATGAAATTATACTTCCTTGCTTAATTAAATTAAAGAAGAAGGTATAATTTCATTAACAATACAATATATAATTACCTTGCTAAAAATAGACTATCAAAAATTAATGTATTTATATAAGTTTAGCATTATTTAATCAATTTAGTTCGAAGATTAATTTGCAAACAAAAATACCTCCTTTCGTTAAGCAATTATTCATAATGGATTTTTTAACAGTGGAAGAAAAAATAGAAATGATTTTGATTTATGGAGAAGCAGGCAGGAATCTTGATCATGCTATTAATATCTACGCTCAGCGTTTTCCAGAAAAAATTCGATCATGTACTTTATTTCACCGTACAGTCAAGCAGTTTACTACAAACGGGAGTGTTCAACCAAAAAACAGAGTTAGTCGAGCAACAGTCACAGGTGGAAATAATGAAATTAATGTATTAGCAGCAACGGCCGCTAATCCTCATGCAAGCTCACGAGAATTATCTAGAGATTTGGGAAAATCCCAGAGCAGTGTTAGCAGAATATTAAAACGAAATAAATAAATAAATTTAAAAAATAAAACCAAGTATTTTATTCAAAAATTATTGGAAAATCTTATGCAGAAGAAAAATAGAACAAAATTGATTTTTTTTTCATTACTGCGCCATCTATTACAAATATGAAAAAATGTTTTTGACAAAATCTAACTATTTTTAGTCGAATAATCCGAATCTGCAATAAAAAATAGGGTGTTACATTGGAAATTTTAAAGTTACCCCCTGTTCCCCCTATAAGGAGGACAGAATGAGGACCAATTTTAGTAATGATTGATTTCCCCCCTCGAATGATTTAATTTTTATTTTAATCATTTTTGGGTCAAGAAAGTTTCTTGAAGAAACTAAGAAAAGTGAATGTTTACCTTAACGTTTAGTCCGGTCGCACAGTGTTTCTCAAAAATATCGGCAAAACCTCAAAAAAAATTTTTCAGGTAAATTTTGAGTTAGATGGGTAGTTAATACCTATCGCCATCCAGTATTGAAAAATAATTATATAAAATACGTATATTTTGTCTTATACATCAGTTTAAACTTGACGCTTTCAGTTGAAGTTACTTTACACGAGATCGCTGCGGAAAATTGTTTATTGTTTAAAAGTGAATAACTTGTGTTTGGTGTGTCCGATTGTTATGCGGTTTGATGAAGGGTGATCTTCAAGGTATATAAAATTCAGATATGTATTTGTTTCTCGTAGATTTTGCTTGTTATTTGCGGGTTATTTTAATCGACAAGATCGGTCTGTTAAAATCGCAAACTTTGAATCGAGCTTTTAGAACAATGGAGCTACAAAAATTGTAATGAATTGTAAGGCATCAGTTCAAGATCCGTTGAATAGCTTAGAGTTTTGTCTATCAAGCCATCAATAAATTAGCTGCCCCAACTTGCCCCCGGCTCTTTAAAACTACATGTTCTTGGGCGCTCAGGCACGGTTGTCGTAAAAAACCTCGCGATTTTAAGCCTACGTCGCGCGCGTATCTGTGTTTTTGCTTTAAAAAATATAAGATTTTTTTTATTTCTGAGTTGCGTTCATGACGTTTACTCGATTCACTCGGATTTAACTCAAAACGTTTATTACAACAGCGGTGTCTAGACTTTCACTTGCGTAAATCGTTCGTGACAACTAGGATATTTAACACCGATTTTACATATTTAACCCACCTCTTGTAGGTGCGTTAAAACAATTCCGCATGCGCATTGTAGTGTGTTAATGTCAAATTTGAATTGTGCACATGTGGTTATTTGTGTTGACAATTTTTTTAGCGAATTAAGAAATCGTTGCTAAAATATTAAGTAAAAGAAATAATACAAATTTAAAAAATATTTAGTTTAAAATCTGTTATATTTATTATAAAAATAAATATATTTTATTATATTTATAAATAAATTTTAAAAGTTTCTCGGGAGAAAACGATGGAAGATGTTTTCCATTGGCTTATGGCATCTTCCGATCAATATATTTCTAGCTTCAGAAAAATTGCTCCGAAAAAGCAAATCTTTGTCCCGCGAAGCAATAAAACTGTTGCTATCTTCTGATGGTTTCCCCTGATCTGCTAATGATACAACGAGCAAATCCAGTGACGGAGATTGTTTAATATATATGTAGGTATTAAATAATATCATATAAATGTAATTATAATTAACTAAATTAAGCTATTTTATAAAAAGATGTTTTATTTACATTTTAAAAAGAACCTCTTACGGGTTTTTAATTAATTTCGACAATTTTTTGATTAAAATGTCCGCCATTTGAGGTCCACCATTTAGAATTTTGGAATTCTGATTTTAGATTCATTATCAGCGACCACAAAAACCCCTGTATGGTGATTTTCAATTAATTCCGTCAATTTTTTTTACAAATATGTCCGCCATTTTGGATCTACCATTTTGAATTTTGGAATTCTGATTCCAGATTCGTTATCAGCGACCCCAAAAACCCTGTATGGTGATTTTCAATTTATTCCGTCAATTTTTTGACGAATATGTCCGCCATTTTGGATTTTTAGGAGAATCCGACTACTCCTTGATATTTTGCCGAAAATTTCGAGAATTGAAACACTGTGGGTCGGGCTAATTCTAGATTCCTTTAGTCCATATGAGTATCTGTGATACAATTTGCCGTGTGCAGTCTTGGTTGCATAGTATGTACCGATTGCGGCCACATCGTTAGACGGTGTGGATCACGTGATGTTCTTACATCTCGCCTCTGTTGGTTAACCAACGGAGTATATAAGCTCAGGTAGTCCTTTGTTTTGGGTGTGTTCCACTACACCAAGTTGCCCGACTCTGAAGAGACCCAATATAAGTCGAAACAGCTGTCTGACGGTAATACCGACTCGGTATTTGAAGTTGGTGGAACGCACTCAAAAACTTTAGCGAGGTGTAGGTTTAATTCTTTCTTAAGAATATTTTTTAATAATTAAGTTTATAAAAGTTATAGGCAATATTTATTTGACGCCTGTATTTTTTACATTTAAAAGGATTCAAAATAAGTGGCAAAAAAATCCGGCAAAAAAGCTGGCATTTAATTTTAAATTCTCATTTCAATATTTTCTGTGCCATCTCTTGACAAAATCTCTCTGAATTTGGCATGCGGCAAAGCATATCGTAACTTATTAACGAACCTAGGATCGTCCCATTTAATATATGTATTCGTAGACATATAAGCTCTAAGCTCATCATCCAAGCGTGCTTCATCAAACTCTCCGTAAATAACAATAATAACTCTGGAAGTTCCATCGCTTAGAGCTTTCGTATGAGCAGTACGAAACTCCATTTTGCCCCAAACGCTTTCCAAAAAGTTATTCGACAGGACCACCAGAGTCCTTCTGGAACAGTTCACCGCGGTGATGATGTTTTTTGTTATAAACTCCCCCGGAATGAAGCTTCTCAAATGCAAATTAACGGCATAAGGGTTGGGTTGTCGCTCCAAAATAGGCAAAAGCGTGTGAATTACATAATCTTCGTCTCGGGAACTGTAGCTTACAAAAACGTCGTATTCCTTGTCATCTAATTCTTCTTCATTGAAGAACCAAGAGCACACGTTGTGAGCGAAGAGCCACACCTTTATTTCTAAAGTGTATTTGTAATATAGAGCGATTAATATTGTTATTATCAAAACAACGCAAAATATGAAGACGGAAGCAAAAATGTAAACTAAATTTCTTGAAAAGCATAGGTTTTTATTTTGTACTATTGGCTGCTGATCAATGGCGCATAAAACTGATTTCGTGTCGATCTAAAATAAGAGAAATATACAATTTTTTGCACGTTTTGGTTATACAGGGTGTCCCAGAACTCGCGCCACAGAGAAAAAGGGCTGATAGCAATGGAGATGCCAAATTTTAAAATAAAAAATTTATAGGTAATAGTTTAATCAAATGAGAGCAAAAAAGCGGCAGCCAATTGGTATTAATACGGAGAGCTCTCGCCTAGGTTAAACGTAGCTTTAAAAATTGCCAAGAGATTGTTGTCTCAAAACCTTTAAAACCCTGTTGTAAATGCCTTATAAAAATATGATCCTTTATGATTTCTGAAACAGAAATTCCATTACATATAGGTATGGGGCAAAACACGCCAAGTGTTCCCACTAAAAACTTAAGTTGTTTCCGATTTTGATGAAACTTTGCTAAATCATTGTCCTATCGGATTACTTTAATTAAACAAAAGGGCAGCGGAAAAGACTGACGGGTTGCAGATATACAGGGGCTTGAAATTTTTCTTGAGTTTTTTGGTTGATAAAAAAAATATAAATGACTTTTTTTTAAATCGACAAATAATATATCCTATACCTTTTTTTTCAATAGCGATTTCCTCTTGAAATACACCCAATAACACAACAAATCGAGCAACGGTTTTTTTTCGATATTTTTTAACATTTTCCGGCTTTATTCTCAAAAACACTCGTTTGTATCCTAAGCGTTTAGACCAGGGTCGATAATTTTTGAAACCAAAAAAAATAACAGTAGGATGAAACCCATTGGAAAAGGAGAAGAATATAATAAAAATGAAAGGAAAAATAAATTACGGGCGATCTGGGTTCGGGAAGTGGGAGGGGGGGGGTTTAAGGGTAAAAAATGGTTTATCTCGATTTCCGGCAAAACTACAAGTCCTATGGAAAAAAGTTAAATGTCAAAGTTATAGGTAATAAAAAGATCTACAACTTTTGTATTTACAATTTTTTTACATAACCTCAAAATTTATGTGAAAAATTCAAAAAACCAAGTTTTTGGTTTTTTATTTTTATCTTTTTCAAAAAAAAATTTTTTTTCACGAAATTTGGTGAAAAATTACCTTTTTATGTCCCAAATACACTGTAATTTATTTGATTTGAAATATTTATTATTTCGCCTTATTTTGACTTAATATCATAAAAGCACCCTAATTTTCAATCGAAAATTCTCGCGTCAAAATATCAGCTTTTTTCAAAAAGTCGGTGTGCTTTTTGTTCGTTGAAATCTCTACTTTCTGATGGTGTAAAAAAATATACATTACTATGGTAAATGTTCTCAGAAAATGCAAAAAATATTATAATGAATAACGAAAAAAACTCGAATTCGAAAATTTATTTTAATCATTATGTACAATTTCATCAAAAAAATGGGATTGTTGCAATTTTTTTAGTTAAAAAGTTTACTTATTAAATTCTAATAATATTTATGTCAGAAAATCTCATAAAATATAAAAATACATGTAAATCATACTATTGAATTTAGATACTTCATTCTGATTACGTTATTCATTATAATATTTTTTGTATTTTCTGAGAACATTTACCATAGTAATGTATATTTTTTTTTACACCATCAGAAAGTAGAGAGTTCATCGAACAAAAAGCACACCGACTTTTTGAAAAAAGCTGATATTTTGACGCGAGAATTTTCAATTGAAAATTAGGGTGCTTTTTTGATATTAAGTCAAAATAAGGCGAAATAATAAATATTTCAAATCAAATAAATTACAGTGTATTTGGGACATAAAAAGGTAAGTTTTCACCAAATTTTGAGTTTATGTGAAAAAATTGTAAATACAAAAGTTGTAGATCAAAAATATACATTACTATGGTAAATGTTCTCAGAAAATGCAAAAAATATTATAATGAATAACGAAAAAAACTCGAATTCGAAAATTTATTTTAATCATTATGTACAATTTCATCAAAAAAATGGGATTGTTGCAATTTTTTTAGTTAAAAAGTTTACTTATTAAATTCTAATAACATTTATGTCAGAAAATCTCATAAAATATAAAAATACATGTAAATCATACTATTGAATTTAGATACTTCATTCTGATTACGTTATTCATTATAATATTTTTTGTATTTTCTGAGAACATTTACCATAGTAATGTATATATTTTTTTACACCATCAGAAAGTAGAGAGTTCATCGAACAAAAAGCACACCGACTTTTTGAAAAAAGCTGATATTTTGACGCGAGAATTTTCAATTAAAAATTAGGGTGCTTTTTTGATATTAAGTCAAAATAAGGCGAAATAATAAATATTTCAAATCAAATAAATTACAGTGTATTTGGGACATAAAAAGGTAAGTTTTCACCAAATTTTGAGTTTATGTAAAAAAATTGTAAATACAAAAGTTGTAGATCTTTTTATTACCTACAACTTTGACATTTAACTTTTTTCCATAGGACTTGTAGTTTTGCCGGAAATCGAGATAAACCATTTTTTACCCTTAAACCCCCCCTCCCACTTCCCGAACTCAGATCGCCCGTAATTTATTTTTCCTTTAATTTTTATTATATTCCCCTCCTTTTCCAATGGGTTTCATCCTACTGTTATTTTTTTTCTCTTTTTACCATTTTTAAAGGCTTCTGCACTGGTCTAGTTTGACAGCTGATTATTAAAAGTCGTACTTTTGTTACGATGATAACAGCCGAGTGGTGGCGCTACTAGCGATACTTCTTTAGCGTATAAAACCATATAAACACATGTATGCACATATATGTGTACATAGTCAAACGCACTACAGGAATTGATATGGAAAATCATATGAAATCATATACTGATTCCATATTGAAACCATAGTGCCATATAACAAACTATAACTACCTAAATACCTAAATAAATACTATTCGCGTGCAACTTCCCTTATGCTCTTCCTATTATTTGAATCAGGCATTGAAATAGCTTCTTTATTTTTTGATGTTCTAATACGTTAAGGATCGCCTTAAATTTCGTTACAACGCAGAACAACTTTACTTTCCATGGGCTGGGAAAAAACTCGTGCTGCCTTCCCATTGCGGCCATACTCCTAATGACAAGAACAAAAATTGACAGCAGTGTCAAAATAAAATGGATTTCAGTCGACCAAATATTTTAAATATTATAATATCAACAATGCATCCTAAGTATCCTAGCAACTTAAAGAATTCCCTTTGGGAATTGGGATTGGCTATAGTTTTTTATTTTTATCTCGCTTATCCTTTGCATTAGATAATTTTAATTTTCAAGTATGTATTTCGCATAACTTTCGGCGCGTTCCCCTTTTCTCTGTGGCGCGAGTTCTGGGTTACCCTGTATACAGATAACTACCTTTTTTTCCATACTAAATAAAAATTCTTGAAATGTATAGGTTTCACAAGTGCACTCCCATGGATTATCACCCAAAGTTAAATTTTCTAAAGTTGGTAATTTTCTCAGAAAATTTTGTTGTTTTTCGTTTATTTTTCGCAAATTGTTGTTGTCCAAATGTAAAATCTAAAATGCAATACCTTACAAAAACGGTTCCGCAAAAATCTATACAACAATACCTTTATTTGTTTGGGAATCCAAACATGTTGGATATTATTATAAGACAAAAACAACCTCTTAACTTTGGTATCGTTAACTTTAACTTCCGTTAACAAATTATGAGTTAAATTTAACTCAATATTAATAAGTGGGAAAGTAATATTTCTGATTAATATTTTCTCTGGAACCCTATACGACGGTGTTATAAGTAAAGACTGGTTCGAACAATTAATTACAAAATACTTATCAGATGGCCTCCACAAACAAATACATTTGTCTGGGCACGAATTATTTTTAATACCAATATCAGGTTCATTCCTTATTTGTATAGAACAAGTCAACATTTCGGGTTTTAATTTTTGCATAGCAACACCATGGTTTTCTGGTCCCTGACACACGAAATTCTCAATTTGAATTATTAAGGTTTGTAATTTTCTATCGGATTTATTTATGAATTCCAATAACTCATAGTTCAAGCAATTGCACCTTAGAGGATTTCCCGTCAATATAGATTTTAGTGGTGTGTTCCATTTACTTTTTATAATATTTTTAAAATCTATGATTCTTATTTTGTTGTAGGATAAATCGTATGTAACTACTTCTTTAAAATTTGGTTCTATGGTGAAACTCTAAAAACATAAAGAAATTAGCGAAACATTTAAAAATAACAATAATTAATTTTTTCATGTATAAAGTACCTACACTGCCCCTCAAAATTAACCCATAAAAAGTAAAAAAATTCTCTCTAAAAAGCCTTTACCAATCTTTATAAAATTTTGGATAAAAATACTTTAATATATCTCAGTTTACGTTTTCAAGGGTTTTTCGAAAAAATATCCTTAAAGCCCTTTTATTTAATATTAAAAAAACGCTCGAAAAAAACTTTTATAGAGAATTTTTTTAAGTAAATAAAAAATATACTTTTAAAGACCGTACTTTTGTTAGTATACCCTGAAAATTTTGTACAAATCAAGAACAGTAACGAAGATACAGTGCTTCAAAGTCGGTAAAAATGACCACTTTTCAGCAAAATAATCAAATAAATAATTATAATTATAATAAAATATTAATAATAATGTACTCTTTAAAGCATAAAAATTATGTTTTTGAATTTAAAAGTGTAATTTTATTTAGTATATAGGCCTAAGATAGTTTTAATGAGTACTCAAGGGTAGTCCATAAAACTACATTAAAACTACGAGGTGTGTTCAGAAAATATCGGGAATTTTCGTTTTTTGAAAAAAATATTTATTTATTCGTCTACATTAATTTTGTCGCCTTCAAAATAGTCCCCATTGGATATTATGCACATGTGCCAGCTCTTCTTCCAATACTCAAAACACTTCTAAAACTCGATCTTTGGGATAGCCTTTAGTTCTTTCAGCGGTGCCCTTTTAATGTCAACTATGCTTGCAAAACGACGGCCCTTTAAGGTTCTCTTTATTTTTGGGAATAGGAAAAAGTCAGACAAAGGCATGTCTGGCGAATATGGAGGCGGGGCATCATTACAGTATTGTTTTTGGCCAAAATTGTTGTTCAAAATTTAAAAATTTTAGAACAAATTTTGCTGCCAAGCGTTTCATACCCAAAACATTCAAAAAAATTTCATGGGATGAGCCAATCGATATACCAACATCATCAGCGACTTCTCTGATGGTTTATAACCATTTCTTCCACTTTTTCCATGATTTTTTGGTTGTTAATGTGTGTGTTCGGGGCGTTCGTCATCTTCAACGTCTTCACGGCCTTCTTGGAAACTCTTATAGGTACTACTTGTAAACTCTTGTTTTATAGCAGACTCAATATAGGCCTTTGTTGACATTTCACAGAATTTATTTCATTTTTTAAGCAAAATTGGATACAAATTCTTTGATCCATTTCTTTTAACGAACGAAAAATCGCCGAGCTCATAAAACACGTCTAACCTTAGCGGCTGCCACAGACAAAGTAAACAATGAAAACAGCTATCATACTTCGGGGGCATGTATACCAACATAATAAAGAAAATTTTATGACAACCGGACCCTCCGAACCCGCGAAATGTAACAATACCCGTTATTTTCTGAACACACCTCGTATTTGTTTCAAAACGGATTGTTTTAAACCAATTTTATATTTAATCCTTTAAAAAAGCAAATAAGTTTTAAAATAGCCAATGTAAAGAGCATTATAAAACCACTATAAGATCAATAGGGCATTAAGAGCAAATAGTTTTTTAAAGAGTACTTTAAATTTTGCATAAGAATAAGTGGCCTTTAAGAACTTTTTGTTTATCTAAAACCAATATCGTTTTATTGAACATATTAAAGCACTTTGAAACCCTAAATAAATCAAAAGTATCTTAGAATTGTTACTTGTGTAGACTTTTTTATTTTTTCTTACCTGTATATTTTCAATGATGTTGTGTGAAAGGTTCAATAACGTAAAAAACGGAGAGTAAGTCAAATATGGAATTTCTTTCAACAAATTCCGACTAAAATCAGCAGTTCTGACGTTATCGCTCAAAACAAGGTACTTGATAGGTCCAGTGTAAAAATTTCCTGCCATTTTTAAATCTGATAGTAGGCGCATATTATAAAACGCAGAATCGCTAACATTAACAATCTTATTATCATCTAAATTTAGCATCCAAACGTGTGGTAATCGGTTAAAGTGAGTTGATTTGATTATTTTTAGTTTGTTATTTTCCAGTTTTAGTATTTGCAGCGCAACCGTGAATTGAAATAAGTTATCTTCCAGATATTCCAAGTTATTCCAAGATAAATCCAGTTCGAGCAAGGAAGTTAAGTTTGAAAATATGTTTTCTGGAAGAAATTTTATGCTGTTTTTCTGCAACTCCAAGTTTTTGAGATTTACAAGGTTTATGAAAATATCTGGATGCAAATTTTCTATATTATTCTTACCAAGATATAAGTAATTTATTTCTGTTTTATCCGTAAATAATAATGTATCCAAAACTTTTATTCTATTACTATCTATGGACAGTGTTTTAATTTTGTTTGAGTTTTTGAACAAATTTTCAGTTAATTCTGGCAGTGAACAATTGGTCATATCTATTTGCATTAACTTTGGCAAATTTGAAAAAGTATAATCCCTAAGAGTCAAATTCGAGTTTTTTTGAAGAAATACTTCCTCCAATTTTATATTGTTTCTAAACATATCCCTTTGTAGAACCTTAATCCCATTATCGAATATATAAAGATTTTCCAACTCAGTCAAATAATAAAAGGAATCGACTCCTATTTCTTCTATTTTATTGTTGTGCAACTCCAAAATCTTCAACTTATCTAACCCCAAAAACGTTTTCATAAGCACAGACTCTTTCGTGAGGAGATTAAAACCCAGACTCAACTGATGTAATTGTTTTTGATTCTGAAACGTTTTGGGGTGTATTAATTTTAATTTGTTGTTGTTTAAAAAAAGTTGCGTGAGTTTATTTAGAGTGGAAAATAAATTTACGTTTACATATTCAAGTTGGTTAAAACCAAGTAACAATGTTTCTAAACTTTGCAATTCTGAAAATGTGTTTTCTTCCAATTTTGTTAGGTTATTGTAATCCAAATATAGATGTTTTATTTTGTGCATTTTGGAAAAAGTATTTTCTCCTATTTCTGATATGTGATTTTTGCTGAGTTTAAGTAGCCGTATTTCATCCATATATTTAGTAGAGTTTTCAGATAAATATGTCATATTGGTATTTTCTATACCAAAATTGGATACATTTTGAAGGTAATTTGAAAAACTCAGCAAATCAAACCGTTTAAGATCCTTTGGTTGTACTGATATTGAATTCATAATTGTTATATTCAATTTTCTTAATACGCTTTGAAATTTATCTTCGGGTTCAGGACAAAAAACAAATTCCACCGTTAATGTTGCCCCCACTGATATTTCTGGTATTAATTTTTCATTGAAAGTTTCCATGTTTTTGCATTTTAAAGTTGTTAGTTGTATGGTATTATTATCTGGTTGTTTAATGATTTCCAACATGAAATTTTCCTGTCCTACACTACAAGTATATGTAAAAATTTCCGAGTATGAAAATGGCACAAACAGGCATGAGCAGGGTTCTTTATAAAAACAATCAGTTTTTTCTAGAGCCCAAGAAATGTTGAATAATATTATAAGTAATATTATTTTCATGACCTGGAATACAAATTTTAAATTAAAAAATGTGCAGCAATAGGTACCTACCTATTTAGTAATATGGTTATTTTCAAATTTCTTGAACATTTGCTGTCCGTCAACTTTCATATTTTATAAAAAAAATGAGTTTAACGCCATTTGAAACTTTACTAAACGAAATCATTTGATTTAAGTGTTTTTAGCAACTATATATTAGCAAAATTGTAAAATTTTAAATTTAACCCTATCAAAAAAATTAAACTTTTCCCAACAGTACAGAAAAGTAGCTGTACGACTTGCAATAATATTAACTACTTAATGCTATTTAAACACCTTAGAGTAAAATAAACATCCTTTTTTTATATAGTTGAGAATATATTCCAAATATTATAGAAAAAGCCCATTTGCGGTAATATTTAAAAATACAAGTGGTTAAAATAACCCCTAAAGTTTGTCCCTTAATTTTGGTCCCCTAGGTCACTCTCCTGGGTCACAGCTTTTATAAATGACCTTTTGAATTGAGCGCACATTTTTTGGTGCTGCCCCCTTGCGGCAATGTGTTGTTTTAAAGTATCTTGAAGCCACAAGTTGTGGCCACAAAACTAGTGTGTCACATTAATAAAAATTAGTAAAGGTACCAGTTGGACTTTGTTTGATTCTCAAAAGAAAGTATCCTAGTAATGGTTTTAAGGCCAAAAATACAAATTTTTATCTTTAAAACAGTAAAGAGGTTATGTTCTAAAAACATACATTTTTCCCCTGGGTCACAAGTCTCCTGGATCACATATTGTGTGACCCAGGGGAAAGTTATGTGACCCAGGGAACAATTCCAAAGAAATAAATTATAATACATTTTTGAAATAATAATAAACTTTTAGGAAAGTTATAAAAACATTTTTTTCGACCTTCCACCTTTTCTGTTTCTTTCAGTACGTAGTCAATTTAAAATAATGTCTTTTTTAATAGAAATTTTCTTAGTCAATGTATTTTGCCTCAAAGAAGCTGGAAACATTTTTTTGGTAGTAGGTATTATTATTATTTTATTAATATTACTAAGAACTTAAACTTAAACGTTAAATTGGACAAGCTGGGCCCAGATAAAAAATTGAGAAAAAAGTTTTTAATAAGCATTAAAAGAAAATTTCTTAAACTCACTTTTTTTAATGGACATTTTTTAAATACAGAAAATATATTAAATATTCTTACGTATCTAAGAAAGTTGAGAAATATAACAGTTTTTGCTTTTACTTAAGTTTGTATTTGTATTTTTTTATAAATAATAAATTTATGTTCTTTTTTTATACAAATCCTAGTGTAAATAAAACCTTAAAAGGATTATTAACAATCAAAAAAATATATTTTCAAAATAATTAAGCATTTTTATATATGTTTTTTTAATATTTTAGTAAATTTGTGACCCAGGGGACCATTTTATTTATTTTTTATTTTTTTAAGGGCTTATTTAAAAAAATCTAACTGCCCACTTTTAGGTTGCTCATCAATAAACTAAATTTGGAAAAACAGGTTTGTAGATTAATCTGATTAAGTTTGTGTTTTTACTTTTTTCTTGTTTAAATGTACAAGAATTTTGAAAATGACCCAATTTGTGGTTGGAAAGCGTAATAAAATAGTATATTCTGTAACAAGTTTGGAATACAGCATATTCCGCTCGAGTGAAGAGTTTGTCACACGAGCCGAAGGCGAGTTTGACGGTTTCACGAGAGCGGAATATGCAATTCCAAACGTGTTTCAGACTATACTTTTTCTATAGAACGTATACGTTTCCAAAAAATACCATAGAAAAATAATTTAATTGGAAGAAAGTGAGGTTGATCGGTCTAAAATTTGTTAGATATTAAAAACAGAGATGTCGCCACGAGTGTTTATTCTGTAATCAAATGATAGAATATTTCATTTTCTACTCCTATTACGGAATTTGACCGTTTTAATATCACTTTTGTCTATGGAATGACATATTCCGTAAAGTGCTACAGAATGAAATATTCTATCATCTTATTACAGAATAAACACTCGTGGCGACATCTCTGTTTTTAATATCTAACAAATTTTAGACCGATCCAACCTCACTTTCTTCCAATTAAATTATTTTTCTACGTTTTCAGACTCTGAAATACGTTTGGAATTGCATATTCCGCTCTCTTCACTCGAGCGGAATATGCTGTATTCCAAACTTGTTACAGAATATACTATTCTGTAGTAGTTTACGGAATATATGTCATTCCATAGACAAAAGTGATATTAGAATGGTCAAATTCCGTAATAGGAGTAGAAAAAAGCATTATCCCGCTGCATTCGCCATTTTTGCAAAAACACAGGATGTCCCGAAAATCTTTTTTAAATTTATGGGTACTAAATATGAATGTATTTTGTACTTTTTAAAATTAATTTAACAAAACATAATTACTAAGTAGGTATTATTTAGTTTTAATTTGATTTTAAAATTAGGAAAAAATTACAAACTTAGATGTTTTTCTGTCTATATTTTTATCAAATATACTGTTCGGCCGAGTCGAAGTTTCCGCCAATTTTTGGCCCAAACCGAAGCCTTGGCCGAAACCAGCATTTCACTATAATAAAGTGTTTGTATAACTTTTTATTTTTTTCTATCATTTAAAATAATCTTCTACTTCAAATTTTCCCCAAGCGAGTCACAACGCCGATGAGGCGGCAAAATACCTAGAGCCGGCCCTGACTCTAAGCTTAGTGATATAAATTTCCTAGTTTCGTTCTTTGAAATGTTGTAAGTCTTTTACGAATACCGACAATAATGGAAAATACATATTTTTGTAGAGAATTGAACGTTCTACAAATAGCTCTGATGCCAAGCAATTCGTAAATGAAAGCATTTACCTATATGTTGATTACCATTCAAAGTTTAATTTATATAAATGTATTTGTAAGTATAGGTGGGTGAATATATTGAGATGTCCCCAAGTGAAAATAATTATTTTTTATTTTTGGTTGTTTCACGGTTAGTCTATAATGGGGTTTTTGGGAAGCCACCAGGTCTAGTAATAACATAACATAAGTGGTTCTGCACTAATGCAAGAATTTTAAGAAATCATACTATTTGAATATTATAGCTTCACGGAGGTTAGGATTTCGTATGTTTTTTTAAAACACCCCTTTGTATATTTGAAATAAGTTATTTTATCTTTTGACACCTCAATATTTTTTTAAAATACAATTGACTGACATATTACACTTCACGGTGGATAGGTTTTTAAATAGCAAATTAATGAACTTTTGAATTATAAAACAGCAACACTCTTATCTGCATGTAAATTTTAACTGACCTTCAGGAATCACATGCATCTATAATGTCGTAAACAGAGGTTTTTGCTTATTTAAAATCATTAAAGCGCCATCTGTTGCATACAATTTAAAGTAAAAACAGATTCACGGAGGATAGAATCAATTTTTGTAACACCTACATAAACGGTTATAAAAATTATTTCTTGCAATTTTTAATAATATTTTATATTTGATTCGATTGCTTTTGATGTGTTTAATTTACTTAGTGAACTGATATTTTTAGTATGCTTTTACTACCTCAGATATTTGAAAACATATAGGTTAACATAGAAATAGTAACAGTCACGGAGGATAGGTTTTAGACTTTTAAAACATTGTAAAAAATAATTAACTGCGCTTAAAAATCTGGAACCTGAGCTGTAATGTCTACTTAATTATGAAGGATCAAAACACAATAAAAGTGTAGGTCAAACTCATTTAGTTTTATTAAATATCACTGGAGACATTTCGTGAGATTCACCCAGGTACGAAATAAACAATCGGGTTATAATAGTACACTATAATACAAGTGTATAAGAAAAAATGTATCGCACTAGCGACACAATTTACAAGAACGATTTTTTAAATTAAATTGTTATGTTATTGTAAATAAATGTTTTTGTTCCTTGATGCTATTTATAAAATACTTTATCTAACGTGAAGCAATATATTTATTAACATAAAAACATGTATATAAATATAATATAATGTAGGTACTTTACAATATTCTTGCTTTATTTAATATGCCTAATCCAAAGTACTTACCTTGCTGAATGCTTATTAACTTTTAATATTAAAATCAAAGAACTTTAAGAAAATTTGTGTATAAACAATAACATTAAACACATTTAAATAAGATAGATGACTTAAAATTGCGTATTTTATCACATAAAGATAAGAAAAATGCAGAAAACGCCGCAGTGTGGTCACAAAGTATATACTAATAATTGCGTGATTTATATTTATAAAGTTGATATTAATTTATACGTGTAATAAAAAAGAAAATATTTCTTTTTATTTTAAAAATAATTTGTTATAATATAGTATGTATACTAAAATTTTACTTAGAATAAAAAAAAGAGTTTGCTATAAAAATTGTGTTACCAATTATTGAAAAAACTCCAGACAAACGTTTGGCTTAAAATCGGGCCTCCACTTATCATACTTGTTGGTTATTAAATGTTTAAATATTTACTTTCCCAATAAATATAAAACCATAATTATAATCTTAGTTTTTACTTGGAAAACGTTAACATAACAAAACTATAAGAATTAGTTTTACCACTTATAAAGAGAACTAGGTATAATAACTTTATTAAGAAATCATGTAAACATGTTGGAAAGAATGCAATTTGTATTGGTTATTTTATAATTCACAAACAGTTTTATTAATAAATATTGATAAACGTATTTTCTGGTGAGCTGTCTTATGAATTTTATAAATAAGTCAACGTTTTAATTTGCATGGTAAATCCCTGTATTTATTTAGGTCACAGTGGTCAAAACTAAAGTATAGGACGAACAAAAATGCCAACCAAAACTGATAGCATAATCTGATTATAGACTCTTTTGGTAACACAAAAATGTATTTATCAAAATCCCAGCTGATCCTTTATTATTTGCATGTTTCTTAGTATTTTAAAATTGTTTAGCCATTTCGATAAAATACTCTTTTACCATTATCAAATGTTTTTAAAAATTTGGCAGATACATGACTAAAATATGGATAAATTACATTACCTATAAATACAAAATAATGTAAAATACAGTTTGCAATTACTATAGTAATAAAGATTCTTACTATTACTTATTACTATTACTTATTACTATTACTTATTACTATAGTAATAAAGATTCTTTGAAGCAAAATCGATTACTGCTTGCCTTAAATTTTCAGTAAAACTTTTTTTTGGGTTTTACATGGAATTGTTTTTAACATGGAAACAGTATTTTTAAATTCTTCAGTCTCTGTACAAACATGCTTCTTATATCTAGCGATATCCCCTAGAAAGGAAGAGCATATCAAAACTTTAGTTCGTTCGTCCGTCCTCTTCCCTTAATAATTTTGTATGCCCTTTATGTCTTGCCATTTTGCAGATAAAGCACATACATTCTTGGCTGCCGCAAAATTCTCTAGCAATTTCTAAATTTTGAAAATTTGGCAATTGTGGCTATGCAAAAATACCGTTTTTTCCATATTGAAGTAGGTAATTTTGAATCACTTAAGTTAAAGTGTTCGTTTGAAAAAGTCTGCAGTAATTTTTATATTTTCTCTGAAACCCTAAACTCTGAATTTTTCGATTACCAAAAACAATTTTGTCTCCACAGCCAGCACTACTTGAATTTCGGTTTAATTTTCATTTTAAAATACTATTTTTAATTTTATAAAGTATACATTAAATAAACAACTAAAGCAAAATGTCACTTGCGTTAAGTATAACGTATAGCAATTTTTTTCATAACCACCTTAATTATTGTTTTACAAAATTTACAAGTTGTAATTATTTCATAGACAAACTTCCAGTATTTTTTGTTATAAAAAATATTTAAGATAAAAATCTTCGTTTTGTTTTGAGTGGTAACAAATAATAGGTCACTCAATAAATTAATACTGGGGAGTAATTTAAATGATACAAAGTTTATTATTTTGCTTAATTTTATTAAAATTGTACAGGTAGTTTTAGTACAATAATTGCAAAATAATATATAGAAATAGAAAAACAAAAAAGTTTGCAAAACTTTAAAATATGATCAGCTGGGATTTTGATAAATACATGTTAGTGTTTCCAAAAGGGTCTATAATCAAAATATGCTATCAGTTTTGGTTGGCATTTTTGTTCCTCCTATACTTAAGTTTTGACCACCGTGAGGTATAAAGTAAAAATTATGTCGAAACAAAAACATAAACATATGGACATAACTTTAATAAGTAAATAGAATAAACAATAAAATTAATTATCTGCAAACACAGACGGCATCAGCATTGCAGTGTCCACCTTTTTTTCCTGTGGCAAGGCATTTGATGGCACAGGCAGTATGGTTAAGTTGTCCCCCATTACCAAGAATGGAAATGTTTCCACTTAAAACATCGCAGGTTACTCTCTTGACGCGTCCAACATGATCTACAAAAAATTTAAAAAAAAAAACTTATAAATAAATATAATAAATATAATATGAGGAAATTTAATATAAAATATAAAATATAATATGAGGAAATTTTACTGAACAAGCGAAACAATCGAGCACTTAGTGAACGACACGCAATCACTACTTGTTTTAAAATATTATCTCAAAAATATTTTGCTGCTGTGGTACTGTAGCATATACAATGTATATTATATATACATACAGTATAGTGGCGGCTGGTGGATTTGGGCACACCCATATCTCAGTTACTAGACATGGGACCCACATCAAATTTATATGAGTTTATAATGACATTATATAGACAAGTTCTGCGCAAGCAGAATTTAAATTAAAGTTTGCAAAAAAAAGTTAGTTTTTAAGTGTAACCCCCAGCCTCCTGCCCCTCTAAATTAGGATAATTCAAATTAAAGTGGTATAATATTTAATTCACTAAAGTTTATCGACAAATTTCAAATTTTATTAAAAAAATTCAAGAAAATTCGAGAAAACAGAAAAAAATATTAAAGTTGACATTCAAAAATCTTGTCTTTTTCCTAACGTCGTCTTCTATGCCGACTGCTTCGAAATAGACACGAGATAGAGATACTATCGTGTTATTTCTAGAGGGCATACATGTTTGATAGTTCGGCAACAACCAGTGAGCACGTGTAAAGTGTGTGAATTTTTTTGTAAATATTTTAGAGGTAAGGTAAGATTTTTTTGCGTACACTTTTGGTGTCTCTTGTTTTAGAAGTTAACTTTTTTATTTTCATTTTGTATTAAAACATAGTAGAAAATTCCAAACAAATGCCGAAAAATATTTACATTTAACATTTAATTAAAAAATAAAAAAGCAATGTGTCATAAAACGTTCAGGAAGATGCGTTAGGAGGAGGACAATGTTTAATTTCTTCCTTGGGCTCCTTCCCTATTTCAGATTAACCCTATAAGTTTTATTTCTTTAAAGTTTATTTTTGTTATTTATAAACTTATAGAATTTTTTTGCAGTGTAATCACTGTTCTATCACAAAGGAAAAAAAATCGATCAAATTGACTTGCCTGGACAAAATTCGCCCTTAACTCAAGTGTTGGTAAAAAATTACCCACAGAGCCCGCCCTTTTGCACGACAGTCATCTTGAAAACAATGCAAGCGGCGAAGTTGTGGTGAGTGCGCGTATAGTTCCAGTCAAAAATTCAGTACTGTGGTGAGTAGTTATTTTCTTACGTATATATATTTCATTGTAATTTATATAAGTCTATATGTGATTTGTTGATACGTAGCATCCGCTAATAAAATACTTAATTCTGAATTATAATCTCAAATTTGTATCCCATTCATCAGTTCCATGTTCGATGTTTGGGTTATCTTATTTCGCAAACTTCAATTTAAATACTGCTTGCGCAGAACTTGTTTATTTAATGTCATTTTAAACTCATATAAATTTGGTGTGGGTCCCATATCTAATAATTGAGATATCGGTATACCCAAAATCCACCAGCCGCCACTGATTTGTGGTATTATTTGATTTTAAGACATTTAATGTATAATTATGCTCAAAGTTGCAATAAATCTTATATTTTCCAATAAATTATGTATTTAATTAGTACCCCGGTATACTCGTCACTTCCCTAGCATTCAAATTTAGAAAACACAGATATTTCAGAAACTCTTTGAAAAAGTGACTGGCCCGGTCTGGAACAGTATATTTATTGTATATGTCCTCATAGCAAAATACTGTTTAATTTTCTCTGAAAACTATATAAACAAAATGAGGTCAAAAGTTGCCCAACTTTTGTAGAATCACCCTTATATCAATTTCTCGTTATAAATTTAAAAGTATAATACTAAAGTAAAATAAACTAATTTTTAATACATTTACTTTGTATTTGTACGACAAACTTATAACCAATAATGAAAAATGTAATTAAAAAAAAAGTAAAAATAAATAGACCTACCCAAACGATACTCTTCGTCTTCCATATCCGATAACGGTGCGCTGTATACGTTCAATATTAAAGTGGAGAAAATAACGCAGACTATGAAAATTTGTGAGGTTTTCATTTTAATTTTTTTTGTAATTTTTTTATGTTCTTTATGTATCCTACTAAATGTAAAGATAGTATGATTGAAGCTAAGTGGTAAATGCTTTATATAGGAAGTTTAATGTATGGTTTACTTAAAATTGGCAATTTAACATATTGCGTTTTGGAATTACCCTTTTGAATAAATTTAAATAAATAATACTTGCAAGAAAATATTATATATATTTACTATTTCTTTGAAGTTTTTTTCTAAGAAAATATATGTATGAAATTCAGACTCTGAATATACTGTGGTACAGAAATGTAGAATTAAAGGTTTTTATTTTTAGACGTCGGTAATAGCTATTTACATACCATGGGAGGAAAATAGTGCTTTTAAATATTCAAGGGAGGAAACGCATTTTCCTCCTAAGGTATGTTTATAGTTTTTTCTATTACCTTTTAACGGTTTTAAGACATTTTAAGCGTTCCGGTTTCTTTTACTAACCCGGTATGGGGCTATAAAATTATGACAAAATATTAAGTAGGTGTTGCGTCGCCGACGTTATGTTGACAACGCTTTGTTGCTATGGTATTTTTGGTAATACAAACATAACAGTTTTTATAAGCTGTCAGAATGTTTATCACAAATTTGAAATTCTTTCTACGTTTTGAAAATGAGTTCTAGCGAAGAAGACCTGCCGCAAGATCTTGCTAAAGAGGCAAGAATAGTTGCAATTAATTTCCTTCCTTAAAAATCGAAAGAGCGATATGAAAATGAATAGTTTGTTAAAAGAATGGTTGGACAAGCGCAGAGTAAATCTTTTTTCTACAAAATCAAATAGGGCTAGACAAGGTACAAAAACTCTTCCTAATGTAAAATTATTAAAAAAAAGAGGGAGGAAAATTTTTTTCCTCGCGATGAAGAAGTTTTCTAGTAAGGTAGTAGAAAAAAATATTTATTGAACAATAGTTTAAAAATCGCACGGTAGGAAAAAATGTCAAAAAAGCTTAAATTATTTTTTTTATTGACTTTTGCAAGGTTGGTATAATTTAAGCAAACGGAAAATACCTATGTAATAATTATAATTTATTAATATACTTTGTTGAAGACTGTACCTATTAATAGAATTCAGAGCGAAATATTCATACGATATAAAAATATTTGATATTTAGAATGGAATATATATGGTGGTAATTCCATTAAACGACATAGCGCCTCCAAGCAGTGTTGCCAACCTCAAAATAAAAATTATGGTACGCACCAAACAAATATTATGGCACAAATTATGGTATATTTTAGGACTTAAAAAATTCATATTTATTTTAACACAAACTTTGATAAAATAAAATAAATTAGGTACAAACAAAAAAATAATAAAATATTTTAAATTTAATAAATTAACACTTTTAATTAAAAATAATATCGCCTTCATCACAGTCTTGATTATTGAATAAATTCATATGTATTTGCACATTTTTTCTGAGGGCTAAAAATTTATACAATTTTTTTTTTAATTTTTATACCGCTTGAAAAAATCTTTTCTTAAAAACCACAAAGGTGAAAATTTAATACTGTACTGGCAGGACTGATCGCAACGTTGCCTAATTTATTTTCGATGCAAAAGCATGCTTAAAAATTATAATACTTAAATTATGTTAAAAGAATATTGTAAAAAAAGAAATTATGGTATGCTATAAAAATGTAAGGTACAGGCCTTTAAAATTATGGTACAAATACCATAATTATGGTATGGTTGGCAACACTGCCTCCAAGTAGGCGCCAAAAAGGTATCAACAAAACAAAAAATTTCAAACTTTGAAAGAAGGTGAGAAAGCTAAACTAATACTGAATAAGAGTTTGCAACCTAATTAAAAAACCGGAACGTTAAAAATTAAAAAAAAACAATATTTTTTTAAAACATTTTGTGCAAAATTGCAAAACTTCTGCAAATGAAAGAAAATGTCTTACGACGCAATATAAACCATTTTTGACGGAATATAAATGATTAATATATTTTGTAATACCTAACTTTGAACTAAAATTACAAAAGTTGTGCAAAGTACACACATGTGTCTGCAGAGTATACCTATAATAGATGTTTACACAAAGTCTGATTCTAAAAATAGTATTCTGCATGTACAACTCGTACAGTATAAGGGTGATCTAAAATTTCGTCCTAAGATAAGAACAAGACATTTTTTTTCTGCAAATTCATATTTATTTTTTAACATAACCGTCGCGACGCTCCTATCTCTGCAAAATAGTTCTTTACGAACACAACTTTTTGTCAAGGAAACTGAAAAACTCGCATGGGGCTAGATCTGGTGAGTGATAAGGCTCTCCCATGTCTAACTTTTCATTCAATAGGATAAATATTAAAGATAAAATGTTGTATGTCATGCGGCTGGGAAATGTTTTTTTGTGCTTCGCTCAGTTGTAGCTCTCCGCTACGCGTCGGAAAACTTTGAGCTCAGCACAAAAATACTTACTTCTCAGCCTTATGACGTAAATAGCTATAACCTACATCTTTAAAATGTACCTATGTTATATTTTTTAACACGTACGAGGTGTGTTCAGAAAATATCGGGAATTTTCGTTTTTTGAAACAAATATTTATTTATTCGTCTACATTAATATTGTCGCCTTCAAAATAGTCCCCATTGGATATTATGCACATGTGCCAGCTCTTCTTCCAATACTCGAAACACTTCTAAAACTCGATCTTTGGGATAGCCTTTAGTTCTTTCAGCGATGCGCTTTTAATGTCATCTATGCTTGCAAAACGACGGCCCTTTAAGGTTCTCTTTATTTTTGGGAATAGGTCAGACAGTCAGACAGAGGCATGTCTGGAGAAAATGGAGGCTGGGGAATCATTACAGTATTGTTTTTGGCCAAAAATTTTGTTCAAAATTTAACAATTTTAGAACAAATTTTGCTGCCACGCGTTTCATACATACAAACATTTGAAAAAATTTCATGGGATGAGCCAATCGATATACCAACATCATCAGCGACTTCTCTGATGGTTTATAACCATTTCTTCCATGTTTTTATCGGTTGTTAATGTGCTTGTGCGTTCGGGGCGTTCGTCATCTTCAACGTCTTCACGGCCATCTTGGAAACTCTTATACCACTTGTACACTCTTGTTTTTCTTATAGCAGACTCACTATAGGCCTTTGTTAACATTTCACAAAATTTATTTCATTTTTTAAGCAAAATTGGATACAAATTTCTTTGATCTATTTCTTTTAACGAACGAAAAATCGCCGAGCTGCTAAAACACGTCTAACCTTAGCGGCTGCCACAGATAAAGTAAACAATTAAAACAGCTAAAGTTTTTATCATACTTCGGGGGCATGTATACCAACATAATAAAGAAAATTTTATGGCGACCGGACCCTCCAAACCCGCGAAATTTAACAATTCCCGTTATTTTCTGAACACACCTCGTATACCTATAGAAAGTCTTTTGTCTATGAAATGAAAAATATAATAATTGTTATAAATACATTTATTAATTAAATTATTAATTATTAAAAAAAGTTACATGTAATAATATTTTAAATATATTATCTGCAAACACAGACGGCATTAGAATCGCAATGACCACCTTTTTTGCCCTTGGTGAGGCAGTGCAGAGCACATGCGGTATGGTTGAGTTGTCCACCGCTACCAAGAATGGAAATGCTGCCACTTAAAACATCGCATGTGACTCTCTTGACGCGGCCAACATGGTCTACACATAAATAAATAAAAAAGTTAAAACTTAGGCAAAGGCATAAAATAAATGGTCCTACCTAAGCGGTATTCTTCGTCCTCCAAATCTGACAACGGCGCGCTGTAGGCATTTAAAATTAAAGTTGAAAAAATTACACAGATAACGAAAATTTCTGAGGTCTTCATTTTTTTGATTATGGTTTGTTCGCTACAAATTTCAAATGTAATATGATTGAAACTGGACAATTGATGGTTTATATAGGATATTTTATCAAGAATGCGATTAAACATTTCACCTACTGTGAATACCCCTGTTTTTAAAATTAACGTGATTAAATAATTCTTGGAAGATTTTAACAAATATTCCTTTATGTAAAAATGTGATATTTTCAAAAATATCTAGCAACCTCCAATATTGGAAAAATGTTTTTTGAAGAAGATTTGGATATGCTAATGTAAAATAAATATTTTTAAGAAAATATAAAATTAAATAAAATAAAATTATAAGTATTGTTTAACCATAATATTAGAAATATAAAAAATGTCCTATGTAAAGGGGAACTTTTTCGAAGATTTTGCCGACTTTTAAATCCTAAAATGTAAATAAATCCGTTATATTGATTATATAATTTTTAAAATATTGCAATGATATTAATTCGACTGCTGATAATATTTAAGTAATTACGAATTTGCGAAAAAATAACTTTGTCTAAAGAATAATAACTTAGCTAGAGCAGGGCAAAGAATATCAATAAAATGCGGATTTATTTTCAAAATTAACTAAATTTTGTTTCCATTCATTAAAATTACTGCGCAATAAATAGTTTATTTTAAAGAAATTGTTTTTTGTACCAAGATAAACATTTTTAACTTAATTTTATAAAATCCATTATATAGGTCTACTCCCACCTTTAAAACGCCCTTTATCGTACATGTTTCCATGACACTAAGTGACCTTTTAAATACACATTGACAAGTTGTGGCTTTATGGCGCTTTAGTCACGGGCTGAAGTTAGTTTTAAGGTAGTTGACAGTTGTCAAATGTCATACAATCGTTAAAATAAAGTGCCTTTCTTGTAAAATAATACTATATGTGAAAATTATTTTATTATCTTAATACAAAAATACAAAAGTATTAAATAGTTTCTTAACGCCAATATTTGAAAAGTTTATATGAACATTGTACTGACCTTTTAATTACGCCGGCAGTAAACTGTAACTTAAATTCGGGCACGGACTCCACTGTAAAGTCCTCATAAAACATTTTCTTTACTTTCACTGTGAAAAACTGTTAATTTTCAAGAAATACATTTCGATTTATAACCTTTATAATCTGTGTTTATAAAATATAAAAATTTGACATTTGACGGTGATTCCCCTATTGTTTCATAGATGGCACTCTATAGAACTTTTTGATTTAAATCATTTTAAGATAATAATAAGTATTTGTCGTAGAAAAAGTATAGTATGCACTTCGTTTATAAACTTTTGTATACACTCATTAATTTAAGCACTCGCTCGCAAGCTCGCTCGTGCCTAAATTAAATTCGTGTATAAAATGGCGTTTATGATACATAATTATGTAGCTGGGACTTTAAGTTAGCTTTATTATAAATTAGGGAAAAGTCATGTTAATTAACATGACTTTTAATCCGTTGAAAGTGGACAGATGTTTAATAAATAAAATTGGCTTTAAATTATTCTTTGTGTTCGTAGTTGATGAAGTATTATACTATAATAGTATGCAACTCGTTTTATAAATTCCTCTAGGCACTTGTTTTTATTAAACACTCGCTCGCAAGCTTCGCTCGTGCCTAGTAAAACTTGTAACTAAAATGGTTTTTAAAAAACTTGATACTTTTATTTACTCCTACATTGACGAGCTCTGACTGAATGGCGTTTTTGAAGTTAATAGTTAACAGTGGCTTTTGGGAATATTAGTTACGGCTGAAATTAGCTTTATTATAAATTTCGAAAATGTAAGGTTCAATTCGTCAAATGTCAAATATTTATGAATTAAAATTGGCATTAAATTCTTATTTGTGTTCGTCGTAGATAAAGTATAGTATGCAACTCCTTTTATAAACTTTTTTAGACATTCGTTTTTAATAAACACTAGCTTCACACGTGCCTAATAAAACTCGTAACCAAAATGACATTTATAAAACTTAATATTAATGTTATCCAATAGTATATTAATAATATTAATTAATAATTATTAAAAACAGTATTATTATTAAGTTTTATTTGACGAGCAAAGCTTGCGAGAAAGTGTTTTTTAAAAACGAGTTTCTAAAGAAGTTTATAAAACAAGTTGCATACTATATTTTTTCTACTCCCACCTTTAAAACGCCCTTTATCGCACCATGCATGTATGTAACATGTATGTTTCCATGACACTAAGTGACCTTTTAAATACACATGGACAAGTTGTGGCTTTACGGCGCTTTAGTCACGGGCTGAAGTTAGCAACAGGTTTTTAGTTACGGGCCGAAGTTAGTTTTTAAGTTATTTGACATTTGTCAAATGTCATACAATCGTTAAAATAAAGTGCCCTTCTTGTAAAATAATACTAAATGTGAAAATTATTTTATTATCTAAAGACAAAAATACAAAAATATTAAATATTTTCTCTACACCAATATTTAAAAAGTTTATATGAACATTGTACTAACCTTTTAATTTCGCCGGCAGTAAACTATAACTTAAATTCGGGCACGGACTCTACTGTAAAGTCCTCATAAAACATTTATTTACTTTCACTGTGAAAAACTGCCAATTTTCAAGATACATTTCGATTTATAACCTGTTTATAAAATGTGACATTTGACAGTTTCCCCTGTTGTTTCATAGATGGGGCTCTATACAAATTTTTGATTTAAATCATTTTAAGATGTCGTAGAAAAAGTATAGTATGCACCTCGTTTATAAACTTTTCTATACACTCATTAACTTAAGCACTCGCTCGCAAGCTCGCCTGTGCCTAAATTAAATTCGTGTATAAAATGGCGTTTATCAAACTTGATACATAATATACTATTATCTACGACGAGCACAAAGAAGAATTTAAAGAAAATTTTATTTGTTAAACATTTGACATCTGACAACTGTCAATAGTCTACCCTGATAGCACAGTTTATTCTAAGAATGTTTTTTAAACCTTCCAGTGAGAATATTTTTAGGATCATGCTATATTTCTTCTAGTCATGTTCTAAGAATGTTTTTTAAACCTTCCAGTGAGAATATTCTTAGGATCATGCTATATTTCTTCTAGTCATGTTCTAAGAATGTTTTTTAAACCTTCCAGTGAGAATATTCTTAGGATCATACTATATTTCTTCTAAAGAACATGCTTAAAAGAAATATATATAGCATAATCCTAAGGCCTATAGGCAGGTTCTTAGAAGGTGCAAAGTTTAGTGGTAAAAATTAATCCACTCTAAACATACACTGAAAGAAACATATGTTTGTTTTAGCAATGTATGTAGTAGTCCATATATGAAACATAAAATATATTTACCTTAACCATTTTTATATTTAGTTTTAACATATTATGTTAAAACTAAATATAATATATGTTTGTTTTAGCAATGTATGTGGTAGTCCATATATGAACCACATACATTGCTAAAACAAACATATATTTCTTTCAGTGTATGCTTAGAATGTTGAGAAAGTAATTGCTATAGAAAGTTCATTTAGGAATATTCCTGGAACATTATGTTAAGCATATTCAGTTCAGTTAGGTACCTATATAATATTAAAATATACCATAATCTACGTATAAAAAAAGGTACCTATACTTAGTATTAAATACTAAGTAGAAAACACAACCCAAAATATTTTTTTATAGTTATTTGTCAAATTAAAACAATATTCGATAACAAAAATACTTTTACTATAGGTATCTAAATTATCCGGCTTTTACATAAAATCTTCTATCCAACTTAAATACAATGAAAAATGTTTTTTTTATGAAGAACTATTTGGTTTTTTCTTTTATGAAGAATTATTTTATAAGGAAATATTTTGTTTTTTTATATTTTATTTTTTGTTAAAATTAAATATTTATTAATTTGTATACCGCTTTTTTATTTCTGAATTAACATTTTTATCTATAATAATCCTAACTATCTTCAACTTCAATCTAATCTGACTTATCCCACAAAATTTTCCAATTTTACTTTTTATGAAATAATGTCATACAACTTATGGTTTAGAGGTCAAATTGTTTATTTAATATTTTTAAATAAATATATATTAATAAGTCGCAAAATTTTTTAAGGGGACGACAAATACATTTCACTGTCATATTATAACAGTGAGGCGTATTTGTCGCCTCCTGAAGAATTTTACGAATGTAGAATCCCACATATTAGAACGTGGGTATCTGACATATTTGGAAATATTCTCAAAAGCTTTCTAGAAGCTCCATAAGAAACCTTCTAAGAACATTCTAAAAACGTATTCTTAAAATGTTCTTAGAATGGTTTTAGGAAGGTTTTAAGAAGCTTCTAAGAATCTAATTGCATCATTAAAAGGGTATCTATTGAATGTTTTAAAAGTCCCTAAGAACATTCTTAGCAATAAGGGAAGGTTCTAAGAATATTCCATTATTCCGGGTCATATCTTCTTAGAATCAAATTTTGCTATCATATAATGTGTAATAAATTACAAATGTTGGTCAGAAGAAAAAAGGTAATTTAAGTATTTGACTTGGCTTGCTATTGCGATAAACATTTTCTTTTGCAACGGGTAAGTCACACAAACTTCCAAGAATCAATAATATAAAATAAAAAAGCAAGGGTATTCACAGTACCTGTGTGTACAAATTGTATTGCAGACTTGATAAACTATATATAAACAATCCTCTGTCCAGTTCTAATCATACCAAGATTGCATTTAGTAGCTAACAAACCATAAAAAATCAAAATGAAAACCTCACAAATTTTCGTAGTCTGCGTGATTTTTTCCACTTTAATTTTGAATGTCTACGGCGCGCCGTTGTCAGATTTGGAAGACGAAGAATACCGCTTAGGTGAGACCATTAATTTTATGCCGTTGCTTAAGTTTTAACTTTTTTATTTATTTATGTGTAGATCATGTTGGCCGCGTCAAGAGAGTAACATGCGATGTTTTAAGTGGCAGCATTTCCATTCTTGGTAGCGGTGGACAACTTAACCATACCGCATGTGCTCTTCACTGCCTCACCAAGGGCAAAAAAGGTGGACATTGCAATTCTAATGCCGTCTGTGTTTGCAGATAATTTCTTAAAATGTTGTGATTTTTAATATAATAGGGTGTTTCTAATTAAATTTTTTTGGATATTCATTTTATCTCATATGTATTTTTATTTATTATTTTACCAATTTCACCAACAGAAAATAGTACCTCTAAAGATAGAACATTTAAAATACTAAACTATATACACTCACAGGCAAAATAATCGATTCACACAAATTTTCGATGAATTTATTTAATTTCGGATTTAAACAAATATTAAAGAATATTGTAGATACATTAATGGAGAATCGCTCACATTTTAAAAATTACTAATAAATACACGTACGTTTATAATATACAGGTTTAAACAAAAAGATGTTTTTTACCATAAGTTTAAGACACTCTGTAGAGTGGCAAAACCGTAAATTGTTCTAAATTAAGTTTTAATTATCAAGTCACATCTATTTTTAACAGTTTTGTTTTTGGTTCACCTTGATATATTTATTTTTGTGGAAAATATGGATTTTTTTTTAAAAACATTGCATTTTCCAATATTTTTCCTGTATGAAAAACTAAGGTTGCTATGGTCCATCCATAGCCTACGGAAGATGACAGTGACAGTTTTGTTAAATCATCCCATACTTGGACATGTCATATATAGCTTTAAAATTGTTTTTTGTAAATTAATGTGTTAATTTTGATTTGTCTTCTTACTTTTAAAAATGTCTCCGACTGATGAGGATGATAGCAGCGAGTTTAAACTTGGAGGGTATAATCAGGGCAAAAATACCTTCAAAAAGAATATCACTCGACCCCCTTTTCCTATTCAAATTTTGGGGGTAACTTTCACCCACGCTCAGGGGTTGAAAATATAAAAACAAATTGTCCCCCTCAAATCAGAAATCGACGGGAGCGAGCGTTTTTTATTTTTTTTCGTAACACCTGAGAAAACCGGGTGGAAACTTTTCATTGGCCCACCCTGTATATCAAACAGCAATCATGGCCCACCCTGTATATCAAATAGCAATCATGATTGCTGTTTGATATACAGGGTGGGCCAATGAAAAGTTTGCATAGGTTTATATAAGTATACTTATAAATAAAGCATTCGTTATTTAAAATTTAAAACAAATTTAAAGCAATTATTTATGTAACCATGTAAATTACAGTAATATATTTACACCTAAATTACCATATTCCTAAAATAAAATGTACCAAAAGTTGCGACTAAAAAGGGTATTCCCACTAAAGAATCACAGACTTCTTAATTAGGAAACCGAGAGATAAGACCGACTATATAATAAGAAAACAAATCAGTCATACTAACATTGCATTTGTTAGCGCGTTAAACAAACATAACAAAAAAATCAAAATGAAAACCTCAAACATTTTCGTAATCTGCGTGATTTTTTCTACTTTAATTTTAAATGCCTACAGCGCACCGTTGTCAGATTTGGAAGACGAAGAATACCGCTTAGGTGAGACCATTAATTTTATGCCTTTGCTTAAGCTAACTTTTTTATTTATTTATGTTTAGATCATGTTGGCCGCGTCAAGAGAGTCACATGCGATGTTTTAAGTGGCAGCATTTCCATTCTTGGTAACGGTGGACAACTTAACCATACCGCATGTGCTCTTCACTGCCTCACCAAGGGCAAAAAAGGTGGACATTGCGATTCTAATGCCGTCTGTGTATGCAGAAATTAATGTCAATGTTTACTGTGATATCTTTTAATAAAATGTATTTATTATAATTATGTGTCTGCCTTTATACTTTCCCCATAATTTGAACAATTGCGAAATTGTTAAGAGCAAATTGGAAACTATTTTAAAATCCATGCTACGTGTTTTGAGATTTTTTAAAGAAAATTTGTAAAGAAATATTTTTTTATACTCCTATACGGAATTTGACCCTTCTAATATCACTTTTATCTATGGAATGACATATATTCCGTAAAGTGTTACAGAATGAAATATTCTATCATCTGATGACAGAATAAACACTCGTGACGACATCTCTGTTTTTAATATCTAACAAATTTTAGACCGATCCAACCTCACTTTCTTCCAATTAAATTATTTTTCTATGGTATTTTTTGGAAACGTAGAAAAAGTATAGTCTGAAACACGTTTGGAATTGCATATTCCGCTTTCGTGAAACCGTCAAACTCGCCTTCGGCTCGTGTGACAAACTCTTCACTCGAGCAGAATATGCTGTATTCCATACTTGTTACAGATTATACTATTCTACTCCTATTACGGAATATGACTGTTCTAATATCACTTTGATGTGGATTCGAATGACATACAGAGTGTCCTAAAACTCGCGCCAGAGAAAAATGGTGCGTGGCGATAGCAATGAATACCAAATTTAAAAATAAAAAATGTCCCAGCAAACCAAGCTGTTCCATTTACATAGCCATGATATTGCTAACAAATAACATTGCCACATAAAATTGTTTATATAACATTTACATATTAGTTATCTTAGAGAGAACTTTAAGACGCCAAGCTTTCTTCAAGCTCGTGTTAATGCACACTCGGCCTCGTAAGCAACTTAAATACTCGCATGAAAAAGTAGCTTTTCAACACTTGTAAAACAAATAACTATTTTGACTAATTAAGTGTTTTGTAAACAATATTATAATACTGTAAAAAAGCAGCCAGTGACTTATACAAAAATTTTGTAACAAAATATTGACAAGCCAAACATTTTAAAAAACAGTAACAAATATATTTGTTAATTTTGAAAAAAAATCAACAAAGCTGTAGGATGTCAACTAGTTAAAGCACTAGCTAATTGAAGAAAATAAAACATAAACGTTATTTTATGAAATATTTTAATAACAAAAAGAATGCGTAACTGTAACAATTTAATAAACCAACAATATTTTAACTAAAAATTTTGATTACTAATTTATTACTAATGTTTAATGTGTCCTCCATTTGCACTTACATTCAAGCATTTCTTAATTCTTACTGCGTAATTCTTCTTGTTTATTTCATAAAATAAATTTTATATTTTATTATCTCAAATGAGCACAGATAGCACTCTAGTTGACATCCTACAGCTAGGTTTATTTTTTTTTAAATTAGCAAATACTGTTTGTATAAAAATTTTTGGCTTGTCTATTTTTTATAAGTTACTGATTGCTATTTATCAGTAATTTTGTTTTAAAAAATCTCGAACCCATGCTAAGCGACCGCCCTACCATCTGATCCATCCAGCTTAACATTAATTTTATAACGCTCTGGTAATAAAAACGGATTTACAGTGTGTGACGTCAGTCGGGATCGAATACGAGCACCATTTCCTCCCGTGACCTAGCCGCTTATGTTTTTACTCACAATTTTTTATTATTACGGACGCGACAAAAATTGCCGAGTAACGTGGAATTGCTCTATATCAAAAAGCCTAAGTAATCATAGGTTTATGTAAGTAATATTACTTACATAAACCTATGATTACTTAGGCATTTTGATATAGAGCAATTCCACGTTACTCGGCAATTTTTGTCGCATATGCTTTTTAAATATGGCGTTTATTATTTAAAATTTAAAACAAAGCAATTATTTATGTAACCATGGAAATTACAGTAATATATTTACACCTAAATTAACATATTCCTAAAATAAAATGTACCAAAAGTTGCGACTAAAAAGGGTATTCCCACTAAAGAATCACAGACTTCTTAATTAGGAAACCGAGAGATAAGACCGACTATATAATAAGAAAACAAATCAGTCATACTAACATTGCATTTGTTAGCGCTTAAACAAACATTACAAAAAATCAAAATGAAAACCTCAAACATATTCGTAATCTGCGTGATTTTTTCTACTTTAATTTTGAACGCATACAGCGCGCCGTTGTCAGATTTGGAGGACGAAGAATACCGTTTAGGTAAGACCATTTCATTTTTGCATAGTACTATAGTTACAAAGCATATATTTATAAACTTCTTTATTTATTTATGTGTAGATCACGTTGGCCGCGTCAAGAGAGTCACATGCGATGTTTTAAGTGGCAGCATTTCCATTCTTGGTAGCGGGGGACAACTCAACCATACCGCATGTGCTCTTCACTGCCTCACCAAGGGCAAAAAAGGTGGACATTGCAATTCTAATGCCGTCTGTGTATGCAGAAATTGATGTCAATGTTTACTGTGATATTTTTTAATAAAATGTATTTATTATAATTAAGTGTCTGCCTTTATACTTTCCCCATAATTTGAACAATTGCAAAATTGTTAAGAGGAAATTGGAAACTATTTTAAAATCCATGCTACGTGCTTTGAGATTTTTTAAAGAAATATTGTTCTATTCCTAATACGGAATATGACCGTTCTAATATCATTTTGATGTGGAATGACATACAGAGTGTCTTAGAACTCGCGCCAGAGGAAAAGGGTGCGTGGCGATAGCAATGGATGCTAAATTTAAAAAAAAATGTCCCAGCAAACCAAGCTGTTCCATTTACATAACCATGATATAGCCAACAAATAACATTGCCATATAAAATTGTTTATATAACATAATGTTATTAACATTTACATATAAGTTCTCTTAGAGAGAACTTTATGAGGCGCCAAGCTTTCTTCAAGCTCGTGTTAATGCACACACAGCTTTTCAACACTTGTAAAACAAATAACTATAGTTATTTTGACTAATTAAGTGTTTTGTAAACAATATTATTATATATATTTTGTACAAAAAAGCAGCCAGTGACTTATAAAAAATATTGACAAGCCAAACATTTTAAAAATTTAAAATTTATACAAACAGTAAGTATTTGTTAATTAAAAAAAAAACAACAAAGCTGTAGGATGTCAACTATAGTTAAAGCACTAGCTAATTGAAGAAAATAAAATTTAAACGTTATTTTATGAAATAAACAGTAGGTCCCGCTGAAGAACCGAACCTTATAGGCTTTGCCTGTAAGCTGGATAGGTTAATGGCGTTACTACACTACTTTACTTTTTTTTTTTATGAAATATTTTAATAACAAAAAGAATGCGTAACTGTAACAATTTAATAAACCAACAATATTTTAACTAACAATTTTGATTACTAATTTATTACTAATGTTTAATGTTTAATGTGTCCTCCATTTGAATTTACATTCAAGCATTTCTTAATTCTTACTGCGTAACTGCGTAATTCTTCTTGTTTATTTCATAAAATAAATTTTATATTTTATTATCTCAAATGAGCTAGTGCTATCTAGTTGACATCCTACAGCTTTGTTGATTTTTTTTTCAAAATTAGCAAATTCTATTTGTATAAATTAAATTACCATCTGATCCATCCAGCTTAACATTAATTTTATAACGCTCGGGTAATAAAAACGGATTTACAGGGTGTGACGTCAGTCGGGATCGAATACGAGCACCATTTCCTCCCGTGACCTAGCCGCTTATGTTTTTACTCACAATTTTTTATTATTACGGACGCGATAAAAGTTGCCGAGTAACGTGGAATTGCTCTATATCAAAAAGCCTAAGTAATCATGGGTTTATGTAAGGTATTACTATGATGAATTCTCCAGACTTCGTTGTCTAATAAAAAACAAACTTTCGATAACTTACAAGCAGTATATAAAAAAAATTGAGTTAGATATTAAAAAAGATCCCAAGCAATTTTGGTCATTTATTCATTCTAAAAAACAATCCTCTAGAATTCCTAGCAAATTATATAATGGCACTTTGACATATAGTTCTTCAAGTGATATAGTAAATGGCTTTGCCAATTATTTTGAGTCAGTTTATTCGCATAATAGTTCCGATATTCAAAATGAAAGTGCAAAAACTTATAATTTTAATTGCATAGATCTTCCATTATTAGACGAAGAAACTTTGGTAAAATACCTTAAAAAGCTTTCTAATAAATTAACATCAGGGCATGACCTTATACCCAGTTTTCTTATACGGGATTGTGCAATAGTCTTTTGTAAACCTCTAGTCATTATCTTTAACAACATAATTAAGTCATCCGTATTTCCAAAAGCATGGAAATTAGCTAAGGTTTGCCCTATACTTAAGTCTGGAGATTCAAGTAACTTATTAAACTATCGTCCTATTTCTATTTTAAGCAATTTTTCGAAGGCCTTTGAACTATACGTGCATGCCAATATTTATGATCAAATTAAACCCTATATTTCTTTGTCTCAACATGGCTTTATGTCAAAAAGATCCACCATATCCAATCTTTCTATAGTAAGTCAATTTATTTCTGATTCGTTTGATAAAAGAAGTCAGGTTGATGTGGTCTATACCGATTTTTCAAAGGCCTTCGACAAAATAGAGCACAGTATCTTGTTGCGGAAGTTGGATATGTACGGTTTTAGCGAGACCTTGGTTAAATTATTTGGATCCTATTTGGAAAATCGACAACAATTTGTATATTATAATGGTTTTTGTTCCGATAATTATATAGCTTCATCAGGCGTGCCTCAAGGATCTAACTTGGGGCCTCTACTTTTTAATATATTTATTAATGATTTACCTAAAGGACTTGCTTGTGAAAATCTCTTATTTGCAGATGACCTGAAAATTTACTCAGAAATAAAGTCTGTGGAAGACTGCTTAATACTTCAAAATCAAGTAGACCTTGTGGGTAAATGGTGTTTGCGCAATAAGCTAAAAATGAATGCTGAAAAGTGTAAAGTTTGTTCTTATTCACTTAAATCTAACCCCATTGCTCACAACTACTTGTTTGATGGATCCAGTCTTTCACGCGTTGTTTCTACAAAAGATCTAGGTATTGTTTTTGACCATAAACTCTCATTTGTAAATCATGTAGATAACATATGTAAGGGAGCATTAAAATCACTTGGCTTTATCATACGTAATTGCGGCTATTTTTCAAATACTTTATACTTCTCCTTAGTACGCTCAAAATTGGAGTATGGTTCTCTTATATTTTACCCTATTTACAATAATCACATCAACAAAATTGAAAAAGTACAAAGACGGTTTGTAAAGTATTTATTTTTTAAATTTAATGGTATTTACCCCCCAAGGGGAATTGACCATGAACTTCTTTTAACAGAATTTAACATTATGTCTTTAAATAATAGGAGATTTTTAACAAGTCAGGTTTTTCTTTTTAAATTATTACATAATTTAGTTGACTCTCCGTTATTACTTTCCAAACTTAAGTTCTTAGTACCACGTTTAAATTCTAGACAAAATATTATGTTTTATTGTGGTAATTGCAGAACCAATGTTTCGTTAAAATCACCTATTTATGTTATATCTTCAAATTATAATAAAATATGTAACTTTTGCGACATAAATAATTGTTCACTTAAAGAGTTGATTTCATGCATTTTTTTATATTTCATCTAGTTTAATATTGTTTTTTTAAAATATTTACATTTTGTTACTTAAATGAATTGTAATTTTTGTCCTGTAATTGGATTCTCTGTTGGGCAAATAAATACATTATTATTATTATTATTATTATACTTATAAATAAAGCATTCGTTATTTAAAACTTAAAACAAATTTAAAGCAATTATTTATGTAACCATGTAAATTACAGTAATATATTTACATCTAAATTAACTTATTCCTAAAATAAAATGTACCAAAAGTTGCGGCTAAAAAGGGTATTCCCACTAAAGAATCACAGACTTCTTAATTAGGAAACCGAGAGATAAGACCGACTATATAATAAGAAAACAAATCAGTCATACTAACATTGCATTTGTTAGCGCTTAAACAAACATTACAAAAAAATCAAAATGAAAACCTCAAACAATTTCGTAATCTGCGTGATTTTTTCTACTTTAATTTTGAACGCATACAGCGCGCCGTTGTCAGATTTGGAGGACGAAGAATACCGTTTAGGTAAGACCATTTAATTTTTGCTTACTACTATAGTTACAAAGCATATATTTATAAACTTATTTATTTATTTATGTGTAGATCACGTTGGCCGCGTCAAGAGAGTCACATGCGATGTTTTAAGTGGCAGCATTTCCATTCTTGGTAGCGGTGGACAACTCAACCATACCGCATGTGCTCTTCACTGCCTCACCAAGGGCAAAAAAGGTGGACATTGCGATTCAAATGCCGTCTGTGTATGCAGAAATTGATGTCAATGTTTACTGTGATATCTTTTAATAAAATGTATTTATTATAATTATGTGTCTGCCTTTATACTTTCCCCATAATTTGAACAATTGCGAAATTGCATACTACATGCTTAAACATTTTTTAAAGAAAATTTGTAAAGAAATATTTTTCTACTCCTATCACGGAATATGACCAGAATATGCCAGAGAAAAAGGGTCAAGAAGGGCCCCCAAATCTTAAGTAGTCTTTTTCAGTCCAACAAAAACTAAATATAAAATTTAGGGTTTTAAAATTACCGGAAAAATGGAGCCGGCAAAAAAAAACTTTTTTTCGGGAAAAAAATTGGTAAATTTTCAGAAAAATTGACTTGCATTTTTCTCATTTTATTCAAAGAGTAATACGAAAAAAATGCAAGTCAATTTTTCAAAAAATTTGCCAATGTGTACATATGTACAGGGTGATCCCCTATAATGTCGCCCCCCTTTAACTTTTTTATTTTAAGTGTCCCCAAGAAGACTTTGCAACTTTAAAAAAGGTGTTATAAGTAAAAAAAAAAAACGTTCAAGTAAATTTAATTTGTAGCAGTTACTTTCGGTTGCTACCTAAAGATTACATTATTTTTATTTATTTATTAAATTGAAACTACAAATCAACTTGTAATAGCTGTTAACGTAGAGTAATCATTACAATAAAGAAAAAATAGATTTATAAATTGAATAACAGTTTAATATTTTTATAAATTGTCCTTGATGTACTTTTTTAATGTTTTTATAAATTTTTCATATTTATCCAAGGACTTAATGGAGTTTATAATATAATTAAAAATTTTTACTTTGTAGTCCCTTTGCAAGTTAAAAAGTGGAACATGAGTTAAAAACTACCAAGTTACTGTAAAGTAAATTAAGGTGGAAAAAAACTACTTCAAAGGAAAATGCTTCTTATCGGCCATTTTTTACTGCATAGTACCTACAGTTGTATTCATTAAAAAAGCGTACAAGAATTAGAATGAGAGAAAACTGTCAACATTATTTCGTAAAACCGGCTTTCCACTGACTTAAGTCACTATAACTGACAGTAGAAAATAAAAATGCCTCGTCAGTTAAAAAGGCTCAAATAGTATCAAGAATCGAAGAAGAATGATAAATTCGTACTGTGGTATAAAAGAAATAACAAAATCTATATTAAAAATTAAGCAACGCTGGGAACAGGAAGATTTACTAAACCAAAAAGTTGGTTCTGGTCGTCCCAAAATGTCCACCCCTGAACAGGATGCTGCTTTTTTGGGATATCTGAGAATTTATGAAAAACTATACAACTATCCCAGCAAGCACAAACATCCTCAGGATGTCCTTGGACCAGCCTAAATGTCCCAGAATGGGATGATCCTATAAGGACTTCCTGAGGACGTCCATAGGTTGACCTTATCGGACATTAGATCTTTTTTAGGTCCCATTTTGGGATATCCTAGGAACGTCATTTAAGGATGTCGTTAGGCCCTAATAATATCCTAATTAAAGCCTAAAATGGGCTGATCATAGGACTAATCCCAGAGACATCCTCAGAATGTCCCGTTAGGTTTTGGTGAACATTTGGTATGCACATTTTTCTATAAGAATATTTTATCCATATAATTAATAATACCTACATTTTTTTACATAACTTATTTTGCATAGGCACATCTTAAAAATGTCAATCAATATAATCATAATATTATATTATAGATTTTTTTAAGTTTATAAACGACTTGCATACTATATTTTTTCTACGACAATCACAAAAATTAAATAACTTTCAACAATTCAATAATTATATAAATAATTATTTATAAAATCTGACATCGACCAGTCTATTCTAACCTCACTTTTTAGACCCTTTATTTTGATGGTCATTGTTTCGCAGTTGACAACTGCAATTAACTTCAACCCATGACTAAAAAGTCCGAATGTCATTTCTGCCAACTTCAGCCCGTGACTAAAAGCCACAACTTGTCAATGTGTATTTAAAATATCATGGAAACATGAACGTTAATCGGCGTTTTAAAGGCGGGAGTTTAAAAACAATAATATATTTTGTGTATTTGTTATATGACCACAAAACATATTTTGTATACAACTGGATAGCAGCCAACTCAATACGCATGCGCAGAAATGACGGCTGGTAATTAATAATTGTTCAAACACCTTGTTTGTAAGGTATTGATACATTTAGAGTTTTATAAATAATAAATAAGGTAGTAAGCGTCAGTTAACCTTAAAAATGTAATTACAAACGCAATCTATAACTTATTTAATAATTTGTGTTACCGATTGTTTTAAATTTGCCGCCATACGTTTTGGTGGTAACCATTGTCTATGTTGGTAACACTGGATGGAGAGAAAGCTAAGATGACGTATAGCGTCCTTTAGTTGTTTGGCTCCTTTTTGTTAGAAAGAATCATAGATAACATTGTGAAAGGAATTCTTTGTCTGTGCCGTGAATTCTTTTTCTGTGTCGTGAACCTGGTTTAAGGCCGCGAATCTCGTGTTCTCCAAGAGTGTTTGTTATAATATAATATTATTATAGTGTTCTCTTCGAAATAAAACTTAAAAATAAACAATTAATAGGCATTTCAACAACAATCAGAAAGTTCCAGTGCTTATTAATTGTTTATTTTTAAGTTTAGGGTAGTTATGCTATAATAATTTTTTGTTCCATATTAAGTTTTTAGTATTTAATAAAATGTTATTTTTGTAATTACATCAGAAACCTGATGTTCAGTTGTTATTCTGTCTTAACCATTTTAATCAGAAGAAAAAATGCCACTATATTTAATTATAATTTGCTAATTTAACCGACTTTGTAGCTGCAATAATAATGGAGTTAAAATGGTGAGCAGATAACTTTGGACACTGTATATATAAATAATAATAATAATAACTATTATATTTATTTAGAATTATTATTTATTTTACTTTTATAATAGGTGTTTATTTTTTATTTAATATAATTGGCTCTGTAAAATTATATATATGTATACAGAATTAAAATAATATATTTTATAAAGAAATAAAATGGTATTTGATTGTTTAAAATGTATCCCCAACAAATAACAAGGCCATTCAGAGGATGTCCTCAGGACATCCCATTCCTTTTTTTTTTTTTGTAGCTGCAATAATAATGGAGTTAAAATGGTGAGCAGATAACTTTGGACACTGTATATATAAATAATAATAATAATAACTATTATATTTATTTAGAATTATTATTTATTTTACTTTTATAATAGGTGTTTATTTTTTATTTAATATAATTGGCTCTGTAAAATTATATATATGTATACAGAATTAAAATAATATATTTTATAAAGAAATAAAATGGTATTTGATTGTTTAAAATGTATCCCCAACAAATAACAAGGCCATTCAGAGGATGTCCTCAGGACATCCCATTCCTGGACCTACATATACCCATGGGACTTTCAGGGGACATCCTTAGGATGTCCTATTTCTGGACCTATATGGACCTAGGGATATCCCTAGGATATCCTAAAGGCTATTTGCGGGACGTCTGTAGGCTGGCCTTTTTTGCACCACTCGGCCATGGTTGGGATGTCCTGAGGAGGTCTGAGGACGTCCTAGGATATCCTTGGGATATCCCAATATCCTGTAAGGCTTTCCTTAGGACGTCCTTAGGACAGACTTGTGCTAGCTGGGATACTACGAGCCCTAACCACATAATGTTCGGACACTTCATAATTTATACAGAAATTTTTTTCGTGAATACTATCTCAAAATTATTAGAAGTTATGAAAAATTCAGCTTATTTTGGCATATACCCCTCGAAGCGATTTTTATTTTTAAAAAGTTTACCTTTTATTTTTAGCTTTTAAAAAAAGGCTAACTTTTTAACTTTTTTTGCATGAGTAAAAAAAGTTATAAATTGGCCCATTAAAAAGAGCATAAAATATTATACAAACCCTGAAAATTTGGTAAAAAATAAATAAGTTATAAAAAAGTATAAGTAATTTAAAAATGCTATTTTTAAAGAGTTTTTGCAATTTTCTTAGGAAACGGGAGATTTTGCAGATATATATATCGCTATAACTTTCTTATTATTTATACAATTTTTACCAAATTTTTAGGGTTTGTATAATATTTTATGTTCTTTTTAATGGGCCCATTTATAACTTTTTTTACTCATGCAAAAAAAAATTAAAAAGTTAGCCTTTTTTTAAAAGCTAAAAATAAAAGGTAAACTTTTTAAAAATAAAAATCGCTTCGAGGGGTATATGCCAAAATAAGCTGAATTTTTCATAACTTCTAATAATTTTGAGATAGTATTCACGAAAAAAATTTCTGTATAAATTATGAAGTGTCCGAACATTATGTGGTTAGGGCTCGTATACTATACTGCTGGGAAGATATTAATCCAAATATTGTATTAAATTTAATTCAGTTCATCCCAAATAGATTGGCTCAAGTAAAAGAAAAACAGGGATGCATGACTAAATATTAAATTTTTTTTAATGTTTGTTTTTTTTTTCATTTCTAAAAGGTAATAATTTTTGTAATATTATTTAATTAACCTACGACGTCAATGCTCTTTATAACCTATAGTAATTATTTTAATGACTTATGTCAGTGATAAGCCGGTTTTAAGCAATAATATTATTTTGACAGTTTTCTCTCATTCTAATTCTTGTACGCTTTTTTATTGAATACAACTGTACCATGTGGTAATGTAAATAATAAAGTTAAAATCTCGAAAGTGGAACATGGGTTAAAAACTACCAAGTTACTGTAAAGTAAATTAAGGTGGAAAAAAACTACTTCAAAGGAAAATGCTTCTTATAGGCCATTTTTTACTGTAAAGTACCACGTGGTAATGTAAATAATAAATTATTTTAATTGTTTGTAAATGGTTGTTTACTTTTTAATAAATAGTAATTTTGTTGGTAATAGACGGTATTAATAATTAAATAAATATTAAGTTTTTTTATAAACATTATTAAATAAATAATTTGTTTATACTTAAATATTGATAAAGCGCATTTATTTTACAAAAACTAAATTCATAAGTTCAACAGTAAAATTTAAAGGGTTTATGAATTTACCTGCCTAATTAAACATTACCCACTGCGCAAAAAAACGTAAAATATATGTAAAATTAACGTCAAAGGTTGTAGTGTGACGTATAAGAATCTTGTAAAATAAACGTCACATAAACGTCGCTGTGATGTGCCTATGTCCGGATCCTGGGCCGTGAATTAGCCCTAACCGTTACGTGGATAAGGAGACGTAATTGCGTTTTTAAATGGACGTAAAAATTACGATTTTAAAAGGACGTAAAAATGTCATTTTAATATGGACGTATAGCTTTTGTTTCAACTTGTAGGTACGTATTAGATACGTTTTTTTAAATAAAACTACCACTTTGGAAATATCTTTTTTTTATTAAAATAAATTATAAAAATAAAACATTATGAGTCTGGTAAAAATAATAAATAAAATAATAAAAAAAACATTATATGAGTACCGCCTTATTAATTTTCGGCCTCATTCTCATGTCCAAATTTGGCCAAA